CAGATACTGTACACAGGTAAGCTGAGGTCAAGGGATCGACCCCTGGGATCTGCATCGGCTACCGCCAAAGGTGAAAACTGTTTCAAAAGACACTGCGCATGTGAGTGAAGGCAGGCAAGATGGTGAAAGCAAAATACCCAGACATATTTCCTGTTGCGTGCACAACCCATGCTCTTGATCTCACTTTGGAGGATATGCACAAGGAGCTCGGGGTGGTTGCAGGAGATCGTCGACGAAGGGAACCAAGTCGGCAAGTTCATTACAAATGTTGACAAGCTGCACGCCATGTGCAATAATCATGGACGCAAAACTGAAACAACAAACGGTCACACTTTTTGCCACGGACTTCGACATGCTAGACTCTTTGAAAAGTGTGAGGCCTCCGCTCGAGCCATGTAACAAGGCATGGGTGGAAAAGCTGGTGAGGAATGACCAGGTGAACACCTCAAATGGAAAAGGGGGTGCCGATCAAGGTCATGGAACCTGTAGTCAAGCTCCTGTGTCAAGTGTGCAGTCCCGTAGCAACAATCAGTAAGATGTGCTTTGGCATGAGTCGAGTTGTGCCGGGCATGTGTGAGCTTGAGGACCTTTCGGATGGTGAGAAGGTAGAGGTGGAAAATTTCTGATGTATAGGTGGGCATTCTTGACGTCGGAGCTGCATTGCGCAGCGGCCTTACTCGAGCCAAACTTCAAGGAGGAGGCCATGCTTGACAGCGTTGACACGAGGGTTCGAGTCGGCTTCCACACCTGGCTGTTCTCTTGGCAGTGTCAGAGGTGTTGTCAAGAGTTCAGCAAACAGGTTGCCATATGGATGCCCAGGGCAGGAACCATGGGGATGCAAAATGCAAATTACGAAGGGAAACTGCAGACGCCGACTCAGTGGTGGAAGGCATCTGGGAGGTGCTGGACTTGCTCCAACCGCAAGCCACCGAACTCTTAGGCCAGACCAGCTCTTCCACGACACGCAAGCGTAAGTGGGGTTTGCACGGTTGATCAACAAAAGGAGGTGCACAAAGCTGTTGTCGGAAAGGCTAGCAAAGTCAGTTTACAACAATTGGAATATCCAATTGTTCAAGGAGTACCTCCACATTCTGTAGGAGGATCTGCCACGGATGGAGGTAAAATGATATGAAACTTAGGTTGCGCACGTTTCCTCGGGGAAAGCAGATGATGCAGCAGAGGAGGTTGATGATGAGGATAGCAATGGCCCCATGCTCACATGGTTAAGGAACAACGAATAGGATGACCAAACAGACAAAAACGAAGAGATAGATCTCCTCAGTTGTTGCAGAGAGAATGGCATTCCAACATAAAGCCTGACAAGCATAGGGTGCAAGCATAGGGTACATCAGCTGTGGAGGAAGTTAGGCCTCCAAGAGCCCCAACCGACAGTCATGCATACAGCCGAAGGTCGTGCCAATGCCTTGAAGACACAACAGATAGGCAATTGGATGCAGGGAACAGAGGCGGCATCCAGGTCCAGGCGCTGCAAAAGAAGGATAACATACGAGGGAGGTGAGACTGAGATGGCACGGAGGGGGAACAAAAAAGTTGGTGTAAATAATCTCTTGCCCACAAAGAGGCATAGGGGGCATCCCCCTATTCCCATTTCAGCTACCAACAAGGCACGAAAGCTGCAAAGACACCTGCTAAAGCAGCAGCACGCACCCACGTGGTGAAAGCTATTGGAGCCAAACTCGCAGAGCGTGCAAGGTGCACTTTTGACGCTTGTGTAGGGGGCATCCTCCTACACAAGCGTCATCTACACGAGCGCTCCTCCTACCAACAAGAATAACTGTTATCAGCAATGATGATGCCGACAAGAGTGGTTCATTACCGCCATCTGCACAAGTGTCAAAGGAAGGCAGCAAGGCGCAAGACAACAGCCAGGAGGAAACGCAGCAGTATCTGAAAAACAGTGTGGCCAATGGGAGGGACTGATGGTGCAGAGGACCGATCGCAGGAGTCTGACGGTGTGAAAGTGCACGGGGAGGTCCAAGCAGGGCTTTCCTCGTTCAATTTTCAGTAGGGAGTTGCATTCTGTTTTTAACTTCGAAGTATTTCGACTCTCGACTTTCAACTATGTCATGGCATAGTCACCCTATGGATTCAAATCGGAACTTTGAACTTCTAAGTTCCTAATTCTGAACTTCTGAGTTCTTTGCCCCCACTTCTCAATTTGGAATGCAAAATGGCAATTGTTTTCGGAATTACGACTCCAAATTTTATTGAAAGTTGGCGTTTCTGTCATCGCGATTCAGAGTTAGCGCCTTTCTGATTTTCCTATTCAATGTTTTATGAACTTGTCATTGACTGTTCTGCGACGCTTGTGGCTTTTGGCTATGTGTGGAATCGTGGTCTTGCTGCCATTCACATTTGTCATTGCACTTGCAAAACCGCACACAGGTAGGTAGTAACCGCTGCCGCCTTATTCATACATTTAAATATAAGTTCAACAAACTCCTCCGAACCATACGTGCAACTTTCATTGAATACGGCTCTCCAAGTAAATCTTACAAGGCCGTATTCCCAAATGAAGATTCAGAACTTCAACTGAGAAAACAATGTTGGACTTGCATGTGTTAAGCATATCGCTAGCGTTCATTCTGAGGCAGGATCGAACTCTGTTCTTTCATTATGGCTTGATTTCTGGAATGTAGGATTTGAACCTACAACAAAGGGTTTACGAGATCAATAAAATTTAACAAAGCTTCAAATTTGAAGCCTGTTCGACGGTGACTTTGAAATTGATGGCCATTATTTTGAAACTGTCAGAAATCAGTCCAAAAAAAAAAAAAAAAAAAAACGTGCACGCACCATGCACACCCCTACGTGAACATGCGCAAACCGCATCCCCGGCTAGCGCACCGCATCGCACATCATGCATCGCACACTGGTGCGTGCAGTGCGCGACAATGCGCGTGCATCCCCAGCTAGCGCACGACGCACTGCATCACGCACCGCACCTGTGTGCTGCAACTATGATATATACTTGTGTTTTATGAGCTGCAAGTCATGAGAGTGTTAAATCATCCGGAAGAACATGAAGCAAAAAACATTTTCAATATCAGCAATCTTTTTGAAAGAGGTCACAGAGTCAAAGAGACTGTTAAAAGCGATCAACATCCTGCCAACACAAAACTTTTTTTTTTTTTTTTTGGGGGGGGGGGGGGGGRGRGGGRGGGGGAAAGGGAAGGGGAGAGCCATTTCTCGATTTCTGTATCATCCTTGCACAAGGGCCATGCTAATCTTCTCTGTATCGTTCCAATTTTAACAAGTGCCCCGAAGGACTTGTCTGTCATAAGCCTGCCATTTGTGAGCTTGTCAAACCATTCCATTCCAACGTCTCCTCCTTTCTTTTTTTCCCAACGTACAGCATAGAACACTCCCATTCGACAGGGACGCTTTCAAAATTATGCATCACAACCCTGCAATGGAGTCACATATACACTGAGACTAGAGCTCCAGGTTCAGAGCTTCAGGGTCAGAGATACACTGAGACCCGCTGAAGCTTCAGGATCAAAAGAGCTTCAGGGTCAGAGATGCACTGAAACTCGCAGTTCACGAGACACATTGAAGCTTCGGGTTCAGAGCTTCAGGGCCATGAGATTACTGACATGTAAGAGAACACTTCTAACGACAGAAGGGATGCTCAGGAAGCATCGCAGTTCATGAGACTCACTGAAGCTTCGGGTTCAGAGCTTCAGGGCCATGAGATCACTGACACGTCAGAGAACACTTCTAACGACAGAAGGGATGCTCAGGAAGCAGGTGACAGACAGGGGATTCTGAAGGAGAAGCTTTCTGAACCCTGCAACTGCATCTGCAATCAAATTGATTACACCGTCACCATAGCAATCATCACTCAACTTGCCTGGCATTCAGCACTCAGAAATTCAGGACCCAGGCATTCAGGACTCGGGCATTCAGCACTCGAACAAAAACAAACAACAGACAAGATTCTCACCGACTCTCCTTGCATACACAACTGTTGAATAGAAATTGGAGATGCAATATATGATCAATGGCCATGAACTTAGAACACAGAGATGACAAAATGTTTACCCCAAGAGACGATGCCAACATCAGAAGATACCAACCTTACCAATTAAACCAGAGAACCTCATGCAGACGCCTTGAGAGAGAGACACAGAACAGTTTACACGTCCTCACGCCAGTCGCACAAGCCCATTCCCATTACTGCAGTGATTGCTCTCGATTTGCCTGTGTTTTGCAATTACTACAGGAAATACAGTTACCACAGTTGCCACAGTAATCTCCCACTAATCACGGCCGAGGTGGTTGCTGCAGCTGCTGCAGAACTGGTTGCTTGTGGATCATGCCAGGCACGCGAACTACAAGAAACGACATGCGTACACGTGGAATGCACCCAATCCATGGATGACAGAACGATTTCGAGCTCCCGAAAATGATGGAAGTGATGCTAAAGTAAGAAAATACACTATCGCAGTGTAAGCTGGCATAGACCATACACCTAATCAATCTGTAAAGGCTCAAACCTGTGCACAAGACTGCACTAGAAACTATGACCTGGACCCTTCCAGTAAATGCACACAAGCCTGCCCCACTACTGCAGTGACGGCTCAAAATTGGACTTCAGATTTACAGTCACTGCAGGGAACACAGTCATTGCAGTAGCTGTTGCAGTAATCAACCGTTACTGCAATAACTACAGTTTCTTCAGATACTTCACTTCTGCAGTAACTGCAGTGACTACAGTTTCGGCAGAATCGATAATATTTTGCATACTACTGCATGTGTTGATCTCCTCCTGCAACATGGTCCGCCTATTACAAGACAGGTGCATGCACCCAGATGACTGCACAGGATTGTCATCTCATGCTATCGAGACTTTGCCACTGTATCCCTTTCTCCTTTCTTGACATTTGCACAGGTGAAGTATGGTTTAAGGCTCTCCAATATCTCCAGTGAAACCCACCAGCCTGTTTCACATCGAAACCATGTACCCACCTGCCTGTTTCAGACGGAAACTAACAGTACATTGATAACTTGAACATCTGGTTCCATAACCGCTATCAGCACCGTCTTGACAATCATAACCGCTGCAATCTGAATTGATTTTCACTATCAGTGCCGAAATGCACGAACCAACCACTCCGGATCGTCGATCATCCTGAAGACCATTTCTTGCAGTTCTGTGTCTGTTGACAAGTACAACATAGACCAGAAACAGTGCATTGCAATCAGTAGACAGAACTAGCGCAAACCCTGGTGCGACGAGAGAGAGAGAGAGAGAGAGAGAGAGAGAGAGAGAGAGAGAGAGAGAGAGAGAGATCAACATCTGGGACGTACCTCCAGGTGCTCTGATGAGAGCAGCACACAACTCGAGCAGCGCTTCTCGTGAAGGTAAGTACATTTTTGAGGAGGCACTCCGGGAACTGCTTCCTTCGTCTGACGCGAAGGTTGCTCCTTTCACATACCGTGCTGCCGATCTGGATCCTGAATCACCATTAGATGCTTGCTGCGCGCATTCACTCAGATATAACCTTGCAAGATTGGCATAAGGGAAATGCCCCGCCCCACTTTCATATCGAGAACACAATTTTGCCCTGTTCACCACAAAGACGCAGCCAAACCAGATTGTTCGGGCATAAGAAAACGTGAGTGACGCCTGCAGACCCTGCACAATGGACGAACGACGGACAGAGGAGATTACTGAACTTGATTGGCTTTACCCCGTGCACCTGTCTCTCTCAAAAGACAGGTCCAAAACTTTCATTCACATGCCTTTCAAAGGTCACTCCCGTAACAACCTACTTCAGCTCTCTCAGCTCAATTTCAGAGACCGGCTGGGGCATGAGCGAGTTCGTCGCATAGACCACACAGAATACCAACAAACTTAAAATGCCTTATAAGTTATAAATGCATCCTGGGGAAGCTCAGGAATTCCATAAGCATGTTCACACCCGCCCCTGAAACTCTCACAGCCCCTGTGCCAAGATACACAGTATGTCACCCTCTGTGCATCCTTGTTTTCAGGCCCTTATATGCCCACCCCCCCTGAAGCAGGATCCCAACTGAAGATCCAAATCAGTTCTTAATTCAATGGATTAGACAGATGAAGCAGGCCAGGACCGATTCTGACCGCCAGTCTGACCACAAAGCACGATTCAAACAAGGCTCCATCTGGCCATTCAGTGCAAACTCAACAAGAAAATTGATGCTGGAACAGCAACGTGTCAGTGATCCTGGTTGACAGTCTGATGTCAACATAGGAAGTGAGAAGCCCCTGTGCACAAAAGATGCACCAGGCACTGCTTCATGAAGATTATTATTACTGTGAGGATTGCGCCCTCAAGAAGGGGCCTTGCCATGATGTACATGTTCTGGGCTAAGGCCCCAGCAAGCCTCGTGCCCGCCGTAGGTGAAGGCGGGCCAGCAAATCAACAAGAGCCCTCTGTGCAAACATTTCACGAAGTGGGGTCCATACAGTTGCAGCACGCCAGTTGGTTGGAGTGCACCGAGTATCGGAGCTCTGCAAATGCAGAAATCCCAGGGCCCCATAGTTGGTTAGGCCCTGGGCACATAAACGTGAGGCCGACAATGCATGCTGGATATAGAGGCCGAAAATGCCAATGGGAAACCAGTCCACTATCTGAATCTGGCCGCAGGCCTTGATGAAAGAGGCGCAACTGCATCTCATGGGCCCCAACCGCATTGGGCCTGGGTACAGGCACTGGGGCCCAGGCGCAGGCTCAAGGGAGGCCGTCCACACGCAACACTGGCATATAGGCAGGGAGGGCGAGTGGGCAGGGATCTGGGCCATTGCGAGCAAGGCCGGCACGCTACTGCGTTGCAAGTGTGCTGCGCTGCGCTAGGCTGAGCAAGGCAGGCTGGCGCTAAGCGGTAGAGCGCAGCCTGGGCGCAGGGCGCTGGCGTCCATAGCCGGGCTGCCTGTGGGCGCAGAAGGAGGTGAAGGGCGAAGGTGGTTCTTCGGAGGTGAAGGGCACTGTGTGGGATAACAAGGAAGAGTGAGGGTGAAGAGAGGGACGTACCCGGTGGAGAGGAGGTCGGCATTGGGGTTGACGTCATCACTCGCTGGTCGTCAAGTTGTCTGGTTGCTTCCATGCTGTAGTTGTAGTGATAGGCTGTAGAGTAGGTAGGGCGCCTGGCGCCATTCAAGAGAGAGAGCTACATTGGGTTATGCTGTTGGTGTTGCCCGATTGGGCTTGGACATTGACTCACGATTCTTCTGTATCATTCTCAAATGGATGGTTACTCGGTTCCATTGTACTATCTGCTCTTGCTTTGACTACTTGGACTTCAGTGTGATTTTGCAATTTGGATTTCTGTGCTTCCTCCATATTCATGTTCCTTGCATTTTGGTATCGGAGCTGGTTCGATTCGCCACTTACCTTGGTGCGCTGGCGTTATACAGACTTGGTGCGTTGATGATGCTTCTTCGCAGTTGGTTCTCGTGACGTCAGGCCAACAATAGGCGCACGACCTGGGTAGAGAGGTGTGCGCCGGAAGGCTTTACGGCATGGGTTGCCGTGGTTACAGCGGAATGTATGATTGGTGATGAGAGCATGCTGATGTGGCATTTAGCTGAGGTGGCACTGCATTGCATTGTGCGTGGTACCGAGGCTACGACCGGTCATCATGCACACTCAGCTCAATTGGTGAGAAATCTGTGGTTGGGGGCAGCTATCTCCAGGTACGTTGTTCCCTTACCTTATCTACTCTCTCAATCTCTTCTTACCGCGAGGAAGTGAGTCCAACTTGAGAGTCCTCTCTTTTGGTGAGGTGTCGTGTGCGCGCTACCTTGAGAGACGACAATCTTCCCGGAAGCATCTGGAAGGAGAAAGGGCGGTGCCTCTGAAGGGCCCTGGTCGAAGCACTTGGGTCACGGTCACCATGCCAACCCAATGGGAGTAGGTCACGCATGCGATGGCTGCTTGTCCATTTTGGCACTATGCTGCGCTATAGAAGTCAACGGTGTGCCAGCCCGTAAGAGACGCTTACCAGACCGTCTATAAATACTTCTGGTTGGGGATTCGGTGTTGATACTGGCTATGATCGTCGTCCTGACTGCGACGTTAAACAATTCCTGAGGAGATGGGGGCTCTCCTTAAATCCCTCCTGATCAGCCAGATCAATCCGGGTAGTAAGGCTCGTTCCGTACGAGGGTAAATAAGAGTGGATGGGCTGGCTTGCTCGGCAATGACTTGGGGCACAGGGGTGGGCCGACATTACACACGAAGACACTGCTGCTCAAAGATGCTCTTCGGTATGTTGGATTGAGGGGAGGGTAGATTTTTTTTTTTTTTTTTTTGAGAAACGCCCCCACCAGTGTTAGTGGTGCTGATAAGAGCAGACACCACTAACACCTGGGGGGAAGCTCCATCTATTGGTGGGGAGCAGGTAGTAAGGCTCGTTCCGTACGAGGGTAAATAAGAGTGGATGGGCTGGCTTGCTCGGCAATGACTTGGGGCACAGGGGTGGGCCGACATTAAACACGAAGACACTGCTGCTCAAAGATGCTCTGGTGCTCAACTGAAAACACAACTTTATCCACTGATCATACATCTGCAACATATTTTAGTTTTATTGTTGATTAGTTGGTTGACAGACTGCTAACACCTCACAGACAGTTTAGTATAGGACTGTTGTATACTACCATAGCCAGTTCTGTGCAAAGCTTCTGTAAGTGAACTAATCATGATAGAACTAAACTATGTTGACAGTCTTTTGTGAATGTTGTAGGCTGCCACTTGATCGGTCAAGTAGGGGACCTGCCGGACACATTTATTTTTAGAAAATTAGGTGCCGGTCAAACACATGCTGTGGTAGGACTCCGGCAGGGAGTTGTAGTGCAGACAGTGTTTGCCTAACTGATGAGCGGGTCAGACACCGATGAGGGTGGAGTTGACAACGTGAGACTGACACGTTCGAGATCACTTAAGGGTCCCGCATGTGTTCCAGACCCTACAACCGGGAGACGAAGCACGGCTTCGTGCCGAAAGTAGAGCCCGTGCTCTTGCAGCAGCGAGGGCAGCAGCAAACCTAGCAGCTAGAGAACAGGCAGCAGCAGCCAGAGCAGCAGCAATGGCTAACGGCGCAGCCTCTCCTGCATCCTCGTCAGGGACCCTGTTGGGAATGCCCTCAGGGCCCGCGGGTACTTCCGGATCAATAGGTGCTGGACAGTCCACAAGTCAAATGGCGGGCTCGCAGTTAACCCCGTTGACCCCACGCGGCAGGGAGCTCCTAGAGCTCCAACAGGTCGAAAGGATCCGCGAGCGGTTAGAGAGGGAACTGAAGCAAGCTACCGACAGAGAAAGAGAGATTAAAAATAGAGCAGCCAGGCTTGATAAGTTGGAGTAATGGAAGTCTCCAAAGTTGACTTGCGTTTAACTAATTTGAGCTTATTTATCCTTATGAAACCTAACTAGAGGCAGACAAAGCTGCATTAGAGGGTTTGGATGAGTCAGCCATGTCTGACCAAATGAAAATATTGAAGAACAGTATGCTGTCGCTGCATGCGCATGTGGACAGCAGACTGGATTTCATGCAGAACTCTTTGGACCAGATCTTGGACCTTTTGCAAAGGCCAGGATTCCGGCCAGCAGCACAGTCGTCGTTGTCGTTAACGGCGATGTCAGGCCCCTTTCCGGTACAAGCTGGCACACAGCCAAGTGGTACGTCTGCAGCAGCCGCACAGACTGTTGCTTCTTCTTCTTCTGGGTCAGCGGTGGTAGCTACACCATCACCGCAACAACCTGTTCCTCAACAAGGACAGCAGCAAGGTCAATGGTACCCAAAGACCCCTATGAAACCGCCCCTTGCCTTCTCCGGAAGAAGGTCGAGCAACTCAACACATGGTTGAGAACGGTTCCGGTGTGGGTAAGGGCAAAGAGGACTATGTAGGAGGAGGAGGTGATTACTGCTGCATCTTACCTTGAGGGTAAGGCAGCCAAATGGTTGGATGGATTAGTAGCGAAGGCCGGGTATGGACGACGCATGGCGGACTGGGCAAAGACCCTAACGTTAGAAGAGTTCTTGGACATGGTAGAAGCTCGCTGGCATAATCCACAGCAGGCACAAATTGCCACTGATGCGATGCTAAGACTAGACCAGCGAAAGTTCAAGTCAGTCAGGGAGCTAACGACTACCGTCGAGAGCCTCATCGTCGTTCCCGGCATACGCTACGATGACCAGGTCTTATTGACCATGTTTGTGAGATGTCTCCCAAAGAATCTCAGAAATTTGCTGGTCAGCGAGGCTCGCCTCGAGTATCATTCGTTTGAGACCTTATCTAGAAAAGCCTTAGACTAAGAGGCTACGCTAGGAAGTGCTCAACCTAATCCGATAGACGCGAGGAAGAAGAAGAGTCCACAGGAATGGAAGAAGAAGGGGAGTAAATTGATGATGGTTGAGTCCAATGGGACTTAAACTGAGATCGAAGAGCTCACAAACCTGTTGGACAGTTCAGAGTACGACGGTGAGGAAATCGCTGAGGGTAGCACCCTCGCCGCAGTAGTAAGAACTAAGGCAGGTGGCCGAGGGAAGGGCCATCAAAAGAGTCAAGGGCAGGCCGCCTCCATCCAGA